AGCGTAGAGGACATTCCAGCAAGAACACTTCGTGTCTCCCAAAGGGTCTCTTCTCTCTCCCTTCTCCTTCCCATCTTTAAGTACCCAAGGACTGGATTTGCCCAGAATGTTTCATTTTCCTTCAAAACCACACTCCCCTACCCCATACCCTTTGGTTGGTGAGATCTTTCTAGTTAAACAGCTCCTGATGCCTTCTCAGCATCCCTTCTGAAACACAACAGCCTCTCTCCCCATTCTCGACCCTAGTCAGGGCATTGCATTCCCTCAGCCACAGTGATTGATTCAGCAGGGCATGAACTGGGAGATGAGCCAGCCAAAGCCTTCACTAAGGAAGACAGGGAGGGGTGGGTTCCTGGTAACTTTGGGGCACTCCATGGATTCTACTCTGCCTGTGGTGGTTAACTTTATGTGTCAACTTGCCTAAGCTGCGGTGCCCAGTTGTTTAGTCAGACACCAGTCTAGGCATTTATGTGAATGTATTTTTTAGATGTGATTAACATTTAAATCACCAGACTTTGGGTAAAGCAGACTACCCTCCATAATGTAGGTAGGCCTCATCCAATCAGCTGAAAGCCTTAAGAACAAAGATAGATTTCCCAAGAAGGAATTCTCCTCAAGACTGCAACATAGAAACACTGCTTGAGTTTCCAGACTGCTGCCCTGCAGAGTTCAGACTGAAGACAACATCAACTTTTACCTCATTTTCCAGCCTGCCAGCCTGCCCTAAAAATTACCCTCACAATCACGTGAGCAAAGTCCTTAAAGAAATCTCTTCTCTCTGTCTGTCTCTCCTTCCCTTCCTCCACCCTTCCCCTACCTTTTCTCTCTCATTTCCTCTGTCTTCTGTTGATTCTGTTTCTCTGGAGAACCCTGACTAATACACTGACTAAGTCATATTTTCACCCTCAAAAAACACAGGGTTTTATTTGTGTGTTTGTTTAAGCCAGCTTGAGTTGTGTTCCCATCACCTGTACTAAGAGTCTTGAACATTCCTGGGTGTAAATGGACAGAATGCCCTATAGGTTCATAGATGAAAGATTCTTCCAGAAATCTGCCTTATCAGTTACTATACAATAAGCTGCCTAAGGACTGGGATTGTGTCTGATGCTTTATTCAACTGCCATTGCTTAGAATTCTTGTTACATAGTCATATTAATAAATGTTGGTTGAGCCGAATTATAGAAGGAGGTGACCAGGAGTGCTCAGCTCCTGGAATTGCCCTGGTAGGTAGAGATACAGATCTGCTGACATTTAAGAAGCCCAAGAGTGACCACAGGTTTTTATCATTTGGTTATGATAACCATAACAAGTAGCCTCAGCAATTATTATTTTCATGGAGTTTCTTAGAAATTGTTGCAGTGTGTTTTCATTTGTGTCCTTACATGTATATGTCTATTATCAATACACATGGGTTCCATTCTAGGTGTTTGGATTGGATGGTGCACATTTCTTAGCCGCATCAAAGCTGCACCCCTCCAGGGAGATTCTAGTCAAGAGCAGGACAGCTCCATCATTGCTACATTGTTGTATTAGTTTGCTTGGCCTGTCTTTTAACAAATTACCACAGACTGAGTGGTTTAAACAACAAAAATCTATTGTCTCATGGTTCTTGAAACTGGCAGTCTGAGATCAAGGTGTGAGCAGGACCTTAATTCCTCTAAAGGCACAGGGAAGGATTGTTCCAAGCCTCTCTTCTGGCTTCTGATAGCTCCTTGGCTTAGAACAGCGAAACTCCAAACTTCATGTGATATTCTTCGTGTCTGTGTGTGTTCATACACAAATTTCCCCTTTTAATAAGAACGCCAGTCATATTGGATTACAGGTCCACCCTAATCCAGTATGAGCTCATCTTAATTAATTACATCTGCAGTGACCCTATTTCTAAATAAGGTCGTATTCTGAGATATTGGGGGTTAGGACTTCAACATATTTCAACCCATAACAATTGCCTGTACTTCTTCAACTCATTTCTGAGCAGCCTTCATATGAAGGCACTAGAGCTGTGAGTGACAGAAGGACAGGAGAGCTGGCTGCCAGAGCTAGGAAGCACAATGTTAAGATTCTGACCACTTGGTGGCTCCGTGATTGCAGCTACACACTCCTACACCAAACAAATCATTTCTATCTAGAAGCAGCAGCCTTGTTCCAAAACTAATACTGATCGTCTTCCTCTTGTACCCTCCTCTAGTGGGTCTCCTTTCCTTCTCCAGTATCTTCTAGTTGGTTTTCAACCCACTTCTTCTCCCTTCTTGAAAAGAATAACCAAGAAACAAGAATTAGAAACAACATAAAAAGAAAAGAATGAGAGGAAGAGCAAGAGAGGTTTTAAAAATAACACCGTTAAAGATGGCAAACGTACTATTTTCTGTGACGTATAGAGCTGAGGTTGGAAACTTCGGAAAGTCATTTTCTGAGGTTCTAGGTGCTTTGTACCGCTCAGACTAGCTAGAGATGTAGGAGGTGACAGATGCAGAAGCAGCACGGATGGCACTCGGCAGTGGAAGTGGAAGAGCGTGAGGCCATTGTACTGCTGCAAACTCTCCATTTCAATGCAGGAGGGGGTCAAAGACAGTTCTTTCAGGTGACTGGGGAGAGGGAATGTGACTAGGATGGGGGGCAGGGAGCTTGGAGGAGGTTGGTGAGTTTGTGGAGAAAACTTGCCTAAGGGACACTGCAAATAGGCCCAGGTGCTGTCTTTGTCATGCTTGCTATAGGTCACAGCCACCTACTCTTGGAAAGCTTTCAGTGTAGTCCCTGATGCATAAAGAGCTGTGAACACCTGGCCTATATCAATTGGATAATTTTACATAACTCCTCAGCCAAGTAAATCGACACCAGATTAGGGGCCGGAACCTAACACAGAAGATAGCATCTAAAAGCAAGTAAGAATTAAAGTTAAAATTAAAACTCTTAAATGTATTGGCAATACTTACGCTATTCCTATTTACTTACATTTAACATATTACTAGTAAATCGGTAGCAAATATGGAAAAATATGATGAATAATTTATGGGCCAGAAAGTATATATTTTTTCCAGAAATTGTCTGAAACAGATGTTTCAAGAGTTTTACCTGTGATGTTCTTCTGGGCCTGCCATCCATCTAGCCAAAAATAAAAATTTAGCCCAAGAGCATTTTTTTGTTTGTTTACTTGTCTACAAGTAGTAAAACAATAGGAAACAGAATTTTCACCACATAGTGTAATCTTATAAAGCTAGATGTTTGGCTTTATAAAAACCCAGCCTACCTTGTGTAGAGTCCCTCTCCCCTATTCATTGATTTCTGTCGTACATTTACAGCTGGAAAAGCCAGTAGTTTTTGTGGTAATCTTCATTAATATCAAAATAATGGAGAAAAGATTAATTACAGCACAGTTTTAAAAGAAATATACCTGATTTTTCTGTGAAAATAAAATCTGCTTAAAATTGGTACAAATCCTGGTCCACAGTCAGTGTTCAATTAAGTGATAGTTGAAATAAATTATAGAAGGAAGGGGCCTGGAATGCTACTGCCAACAAACACACACATACATACACACACACACACACACACAAAACCTTACCATTTGTGGTTGTTTTCTATTCTTTAGGAGCAAAATACAAGGTAAGATGTAAACACTGAAGAAGGGTGTATCCTGAAGCTTCAGATTAAGGTATATTAATTTTTAGTCTCTCTGAAGATAATGAGGTTTGGTCATAAGGTTATTCAGTAAGGTCAGTGTTGTCTGCAAATTACAATTTTGCTGGTAACAAAATATTTTAAGTCTGTGTGGCAACATGGTAAAATGGATCTAGATAACTATGTCTCAGTTATGTTAAGAATAAAGATGGTTGCTCTCCTAGCTAGTAGACACAGTGGGTTCTTAGAGAATCACAGTAAAAAATAAGTTATTCTGCTAAAATGTGTTTTCGGCAGTGTTTCAAAGTAATTTGCAAAGTTTGGGGGAAGAAAGGAAAGCACCACTTGATGCTCTTCCATGGGGAAGGCCACAGCGCCACAAGTGATGAAACAGTGACTGAATCGATAGCATTCTTCAAGGCAGATGCTTGAATCCAGTAAGACATTCTGTCGAAAAGCAGTTATAAGTTACAGTTTAAAATAGTATTTGTAATACTGGCTTGCTTGGAATAAGATCAGGTTCCTCAAAACACTTGTAGGCATCTTTGAATAACTTTTCCATAAACAGAATAACTTTAAGAATAAATATCTGAATCTTTCCTCACTCTCTTGGAATCTTCTCTTCCCCTTCACTAAAGATCCTCATCTCAGCCTAAAGCAGTGATTTTCAACTAAGGGAGATTTTGTCCCCCAGGAGACTCTTGGCAATGTTTGGAGACGTTATTGGTTGTCACATCTGGTGGGGGGGGGCGGCGGGAGGAGGGAGGGGCCACTGGCATCTGGCGGATGAGGCCAGGGCTGCTGCCGAACATCCTACAGTGCACAGGACAGCCCCACAGCAAAGAATTATCTGGCCCAAAATATCGATAGTTCTGAGACTGAGAAACACTAGCCTGGAGGTATAAATGAGGCAGGTGCGTGTGTGTGTGTGTGTGTGTGCACGCGCGTGTGTGTATGTGCAGCGTTGTCACACAAACAAGTGGACTATACACATGCTTGAGCTCTAAAAGCCCACTGAAACCCACATAAACTGGTAGCCTTACACATCAGCAGTTCCAGTAAAGAAATTCTACTTTCAAGCTAGATGTGAGGCAAGCTCAGAAAGGGTTTTTTTATTCGTTGCTCCACCCCAACTCCTCAAGTAGACGTTCTAAAGGAAGCATTGTTGTAAACAATCAGAGGGACCGTTGACTTTATTCTAAGGTTTTAGAATTGTGGCTGGGCCTTAGCCTGAGAGTCTCCACTACTGGATGGGACGCCTCCATGAGTTTGTTCCTTCTATCCTGAAAGTTTTAACTGTGTATTTTAACAGTGACTGCCATGTGAGCATTCTTTATGTCATCCCTTTTGGTTACGTGTTGTTTTCTCTTCTCACCCTCCAGGCCCTTGTCCGAGACAACAGGAAATTTTCAGGTCACGTGTTTCCTTTCCAGAGAGTTGTTTTGTGGATACAATGGAGTCTTTAGCATTCACAAGATTTAGAGGACTTCAGCATAATTTTATTTTCACATACCAACAATCACTTACGGCAAGTACCTTTTCTCTCCTGACCACCATAGAGCACACTTTTGTTTCCCCATCCAGTCCCCTGTCTCACTGGCCGCAGCTCTGAAACGGCTGTGTTCTTTACCACAGTCTTCCTGAGACAGGTTGCTGCCTCCTTTTAGGAATACCCATGGTAAACCCACCTGAGGAGGGTTTTGACTCAACTAAAACTTCAACCAGCATCAGAGGCTTTCGAAGTATAACTGATAGGTACTAAAAATGTCAGTAATGTTGGTAGATACCACACAAGAAATTTTAAGCAGATAAAGCACCGTTTAGCAAAATTACCTACCAACATCCTTTTTTTTTTTTTTGTGGTACGCGGGCCTCTCACTGTTATGGCCTCTCCTGCTGTGGGATCTTCCCAGACCGGGGCACGAACCCGCGTCCCCTGCATTGGCAGGCGGACTCTCAACCACTGCACCACCAGGGAAGCCCTTAAGGTCCCTTTTTTTTTTCCAACATCCTTTTAACAGACAAAAAAAGGCAAGAGGAAAAAAAAGCAATAACTTATATAATTAATCTGTACAAAATAACACAATTGATATATTTTTTAACAGTAATAATCACGGAATGCTAAAGCTGGATGGGACATTCTGTACTGCTTAGGTGGGCTGCCTGGTGTAACAAGTGCTGGCTTCTTTCCTTTTCTCTCTCTTGTTTTACTTTGGTGATGAAGACACGAAGGCTCAGGGAGGGGAATTGACCTGGCCAAAGTCACACAGGCAGCTGGGCAAAGTCAGAATCGGAAACACAATGTGCACTTTCTTCCACATATATAAGAGGCTGAAAACACAGAAGACTGTGATATTTATATGCATACTTTTCCAATTTTTTTTCCAGTGTTTCCTTTTTTCCCTGTTATCTTTTAACCCAAATTTCCCAACTCCTTACACAGACTATTTTGGAAATTAGAAGACATAGTTTTAATGCAAATAATGCCTTTTTAAAAGAAGTTGTAAGCACCCACAACATTTTTATGCTTAGTGACTTGATGCCAACTATATATATTCATGGGTGGATGGGTATATCTGGATCTATAAATGTCATTTGTATATTCATATACATTCGTACACCAGATTTCCAAATCTAGTTGTTTCCCCTCACCTCCAAGGAACACACTGCTCCTGACATTTCGGTAGCATAGCCTAACTATACAGTTCCATCATGGGAGTTTGTATTATATATAAGTTTATGGTAAAGGTAAAAATACGGGTCTTGATAGTTTTCTTCCAGTGATATTCATTATCTTTTGCTAGGAAAGGTGAAAATATAAGCAATCAGTGCATTTCTGTCGAAAGGAAGGAGAATTAGATCTAAATAAGAATAAGCAGCATCTCAGGCTTGACAAACTTTTCCGGAAATTTTTTTTTCCCTGCTCTGCAGAGAGCCCTCAGCATGGGCCATGGGTCTGGCTGCTGAAAGAAGTGTCCGTGCAAATCTCATTCTCTATTTTCTGTAATCACCACCTGAAATACGTAAGTAAAACACACAGTCTAATGTACCTTAATGTTCATCCTCATACTTTAAAATAAGCATTATTTCTTGGTGACTATACTTGAGAAGTTTTCTATTTAAACTGCGTATACATACGATGCCAATTTTTAAAAATCTTGTGTGTATTCACATATATAGGAACAAAAATCTATATGTATGTTTACCAAGATGTCGACGATGGTTTTCTTTTAGTGGTATGACTTTTCTTTATACTTATCTCTATTTTTTACAACGATTATTGATTTCTTTAATGTTCAGAAAATTATTAACTTAGCACAAAATATTACGTAAAGCCTTTTCAAATGGCATCCTTTGTCTCTCTGATTCACTGGAGTTTGTAGCTACTTCTATTCATTCAATAAATATTTAATGAATACCTACTATGTGCAAGGTCCTGTGCTAATGGCTGTCAGATAAATAGTTTTACTATTTTACAAAGCTCAATCCTATCAGCTAACAGATATTCACGGAGTGCCTGCTCTGTGTTCACAGCTGCCCAGTAGGAGTTCTGGATGCAGTGGTGAACAAGATAGTGTTCTGTCTCCAGGAGCTTATATGCTATAAACACGTAAACAATAAATAACAGTGGTCAAGACGCATGTTATGAAGGACATTTTGAGGTAATGTCACAGATAGTAACTGGGAGGATGAGGCTGCTTTAGCTGAGAGTTTGTGGAAGCCCTCGCTGAACAGGTCACATTTGGATTGAAGACTGAATATTAGAAGGAGACACTTTGTGAAGATAAGGCCTCGAGCAGGAGGAACAGCAGGAGGGAAAGACCCAAGATGAGAGCAAGCTTGGTATATTCAGGGAAAACAGCAAAAACTGGCAGAGTACAGAGAAGGAAGAGAAGGAAGCAGAAGCCAGTAGGGCAGCCTTCCAGGCCACAGTACAGAATTTAGATTTGATTCTCTGTTGCAAAGAGAGGTCTTTGGTGAGTTCCAAGCAGAGAAGTGATGTTGCCTAGTTTACATTCGAAAAAGATCCTGCTGGCTTCTGTGTCAACAGTGGATTTGGGGGAGGCAAGTGTAGTGGCAGGGTGCTGTTGAGGACATAGCGAGAAGCTGCCACATAAGGATAGTTGTGGAGGAGAGATACTGAAAACTTTAAAATGGGAGAATACCTCTTGGTTGGGGCAAAAAAAAAAATGTGTTCTACCATTGTATAGGTACTCTTCTCTCTCTCTTCTTTTTTTGTTTTAAATAAATTTATTTATTTATTTTTGGCTGCATTGGGCCTTAGTTGCTGTGCACGGGCTTTCTCTAGTTGCGGCGAGCGGGGGCTACTCTTTGTTGCGGTGCGGGGGCTTCTCATTGCGGTGGCTTCTCTTGTTGCAGAGCACAGGCTCTAGGCTCGCAGGCTCAGTAGTTGTGGCGCACAGGCTTGGTTGCTCCGCCGCATGTGGGATCTTCCTGGACCAGGGCTTGAACCCATGTCCCCTGCACTGGCAGGTGGATTCTTAACCACTGCGCCACCAGGGAAGTCGACTACTCTTCTAACTTTTGTCTTTTAGAGTGTGGCTGAGATTACTATCATCTCTCGGTATCCTTTCTCCTCTATTTTTATAATAGAACTTCCTGAGTTCTAGCTAGACACATGGGTATTAGGTCGTCAACTACATTTCCCAGCTTTCCTTGCTACTGGGAGTGACCTTATGACTAAATTTAGACCGCTGGGAAATGAAGTAATGTGTGCTCAGTCTAGATTATCTCCTTAAGGACATAGTCACTTGGTAAACTTTCTTCATTCTTCCCTTGGGCTGAAACTCAGACGTGCATCAGCCCATCTTTGACCCCGGGGTGTGAGAACATCACCCTAGGGCATGGTGGAGCACCAGATGGAAGGACCGACTTCCCTGAATGACCTCATGGGACAGCCCTCCAGCTGGCCCTCAATGCTCCTGTTCAATCTATATCACGTGAGAAAAAGAAAGTTCTTTCTTTTTTAGAGCTGTGCTGTATTCTAGGGTGTTTTGGTTAGAACCGCTTATCCCATACCTTAAGGAAATGAGGAGATTTGGGGAAGCCAAAAGAAGCATTTACAGCAGAGAAACCGGGGCATGGCAGATGTCTTTGAGCCCATCAGTGCCCCCTTGTCTGGAATAGGAAGAAAGCATAGCCAAATGAGAGAAAAACTATTTGGATACTAATCTGCTCCAAAGCCCTAGGGCCATACCCAAGGCTTGGGAGAGTCCTGACCGCCAGCTAAGATTTAGGGTGAGTAATAAAGGAACATTCCAATCATGAACTCTGTATAACATTAAGTTGTGATAAGCTGATAAAAAAGAAACTGAAAAATAACATAGACTCGTTTTCTCTACCAGTTATTTTAAAGAAACTTTACATTTTGAATTAATGACTCCTAGTGAAGAAGTATGTATATACTACACACAAATGGAAAATACACCAAGTTCCATATCAGTGGAGCACATTTCACACGAGGCCTTGTTCCTCTATCTGTACTGGGTGGCTACAGCTGACTCTTCTCATCTGGTTGCAGTGTGCCTTAATTTGGAACCTTACTCATTTTTTTAAAAAGCCCATCTCAAGGTTATGGAGGTTTACCCACACACAAAACAAGATGAATTAGGTAATACTAATATTATGTTAGGTAAGAAAATGATCTTCAATATGGAAGAAACCCAAGCTCCCTTAGAGAGTTTTTTTTTTTTTTTTTTAGGATTAAAAAAGAGAATGTATGTAAAGCAACCAGCAAAAAATATTATTGTTGTTGTTAGTTTCTCCCTTTCCTATACTCACTCAATTATTTGTCTTTCAAATTCCAAAATACTCTGAAATCTGCCATGAGTCCCTGAAAGAATGACTAAATGATCATTCTCAGTAAGCTGGTAATTTGGGTTTTCTACATCCCTCAATATAGGATTGAAGTGAAAGGTGGGAGGGAAGGGACACTAATATTTATGGAGCATCTACCATGTGTACACTTTAGGTCGGTTATTTCCTCTGATCTTAATAATTCAATGTGGTGATACCATCATTCTTTTTTTTTAATTATTGCAGTAGTTAATTTACAATATTGTGTTAGTTTCAGGTGTCCAGCAAAGTGATTCATTTATATTTTTTTCACATTATATTCCGTTAAAGGTTATTACAAGTTTATAGTTCCCTGTGCTATACAGTAAATCGTTGGGGTTTTTTTGTTTTTTTTTTTATTTTTGCGGTACGCGGGCCTCTCACTGTTGTGGCCTCTCCCGTTGCGGAGCACAGGCTCCGGACACGCAGGCTCAGCGGCCATGGCTCACGGGCCCAGCCGCTCCGCGGCATGTGGCATCTTCCCGGACCGGGGCACGAACCTGTGTCCCCTGCATCGGCAGGCGGACTCTCAACCACTGCGCCAGCAGGGAAGCCTTACAGTAAATCTTTGTTGCTTATCTATTTTATGTATAGTAGTTTGTATCTGTTAATCCAATACTTTTTTAAATTTTTAAAAAATTTTATTGGAGTATAGTTGATTTACAACATGTTAGTTTCAGGTGTACAGCAAAATGAATCAGCTATACATATACATATATCCACTCTTCTTTTAGATTATTTTCCCATATAGGCCATTACAGAGTACTGAGTAGAGTTCCCAGTGCTATATAATAGGTCCTTATTAGTTATCTATTTTACATATAGTAGTGTGTTTATGTCAACCCCAATCTCCCAATTTATCCCTCCCCCCCACCTCCACTTACTCCCTGGTGACCATAAGTTTGTTTTCTACATCTGTAACTTTGTTTCTGTTTCGTATATAGGTTCATTTGTACCTTTTTTTTAGGTTTCATATATAAGTGATATCATATCCCATACTCTTAATTTGTCCCTCACTCCCTCCCTCTCTCCCTCTC